AAATCCAGATGATTCTTGGCATTTATTATGAAAACCTAAATTCTTGTAAGCCTAAGATCCAAAAAAAAAGGGATAAATTGCTACACATATGACTTCATAAAATTGAACCAAAATGGTATAAAAACCCTGAACAGATCAAAGACAGTCAATGAAACTAATGCAGAAATAAAAATGCTAACAACAAAAAGGCTCTGGATCCAATGGAATGGCTATAGATTTCATGAGAATTTAGATACAAACTAAGGCCAATACGCTTCAAACCTTCCACCCAGTTGAAAAGGAAGAAATGCTTCCAACTCATTCCAAAAAACAAGTTTGTCCTAATACCAAATCAGATGATGATTCAAAAACAAAAACAAAAAATCCAAAACCCTGAGAAGCATCACTGTTCTTGATGAACACAGGTACAACCTCAACCCTGCCAATTGCAGTTGGGAGCCCTTTAGGAAGCATGGGGCAGCCTACTCAGGCTCTCCTGCTGGGCATGCTCACTGCCTACATGTGCCAATATTATGACTACACCAGGCTGAGCATATTAAAAGCCTCTGTGTGTGTCTATATGTGTATTACTGGGGATTGAATTCAAGGCTTTCATACTGAGCTATTTCTCTACTATTTTTTTTTTCTTTTTTGAGATACGGTCTTGCTCTGTAGTTAAAACTGGCCTTGACCTCACTTTGTAGCCCAGGTTACAAAGTCTCAAATTTGCACTGATCCTCCTGCTTTAGCCTCCCAAGGGCTGGGATTATAGGCACGTACTACCATGCCTGGCTCAATCTAGCTTTTTTTTTTTTAAAAAAAAGCTTTTATTTATTTATGTATTTGAGAAAGAGTCTTGATATATAGTTCAGTTTGGGCTTACCCTCATTGTGTAGCCCAGGCTGGCCTCAAACTCACAATGATCCTCCTGTCTCAACCTTCCGAGTGCTGGGACTAGAGAAGTGTGCCACCATGCCCGGCTCTAGCATTTTAGCTGTAGGTGGAGTCTCCTCCTTCTGAGTTCCAAACTCCTTGAAATTACTCCATTCCAGGTCCCTGTGGGACCTCAAACTGAGCCAGGTGACATGACTTCAGCCAGCTGGAGTCCTCACACAGGGACTGCTCTTGGGAGCTCTGTCCAGATTCCTACCCATGCTCCAGCAAAGCAGTTCAAGTGGTATATGGAACACTATGTGAACCTTTATAACAGTGTCCTGGAGCTTCCTGTGGCAGCAATGTGCTTCTATCTTACAAATCAGCATTAGACAAACCAGGGATACTTTGTCTTGGATAAAGCCACAGTTGTCTTGGCCCACAGTTTTGTTTAGAACTATGGATTGAATCCAGAGCCTTCACACCAAACTACTTCCCAATCATTTTTCATTTTTTAATTTTGAGACAGAATCCCACTAAGTTGCCCAAGCAGGTCTTGAACTTGCTCTCCTCCTGCCTCAGCCTTTCAGTGTGCTGAGATTCCAGGTGTACGACACTGGGTCTGGCTTGTTCTGTGTTCTGAACTCCTTCTTACTGACCTAAATTACAGATCTCCACTCATCCAGAGGCACTTCTGGGTTCAGATCCCTGTTAGGAAATCCCCAATAAACTAAGCTTTGTGTGATCCCCGGCTCCCTCTCCCTCCACGTCTGCAGCCTCCCAGCTCCCTGGGGCCAGCTGCCCATGCTGAGGCTGGGTGTTACTGAACATTCAGGGCCTTTCTCCTATTTCCTTTCTCTCTCTTTCTCTCTCTCCCTCCTTTTTGGTGCCGGGGATCAAACTTGTGGCCTTGCACTTGCCAGGCAGGTGCTTATGCCACTGAGCTAAATCCCTGGCCTGTCTTTCTTGCTTTTTCTCTCACCACTTGTTCCCCCATGTTCTGCCACTGAGGTACATCTCTAGCCCCTTTTATTTTATTTTGAGGCCAAGTCTTGCTAAATTGCCCAGGCTGACTTGAATTTGCACTCCTCCCACCTTAGCCTCCTGGGCCATCAGTGACACAGTTGGTAAAAAGAATTTTACCACTAGATGAGGGATGCAGAAAAGGCAAAGTTGATTTAGACCAGGAAATCCTGGAACAAGGGGTAAGTTTCCAAGAAAGGAGCGGTACAGTTGGGGTTTAGACACTGGAGGTTTGAAGAAATGGAATAAGGGGCAGGCGGCTCCCCAGCCATGCCACCTTGTAGATCCAGTCTTTCAGCATAATTTAAAATGCTTTTTACAGTTGCAGTTTTGACAGAGCTAAATCCTCATACTTAAAAAAGGCTTTGCTTTGATGGGCATCTGATAAAGAGGTCCAGGTGACTTACAGAACATCCAACTGAGAGACATGGAAGGGCCTTACACAATACCCCTCACCCCTCCTGTGAGACATCCTACTTAGAGCCCCTCCTTTCTGATGTCCTACTTAGAGCAAGTGTAGCTCACTAAATTCTCGAAGGGCTTTAATCCTTTTACCTCCCACCAGCTGGAATAACAGCAACGTGCTGCCAAGCCCAATGATCTATATTTCTTTTTTTGCTTGCTTTTCTTTTAGAATAACTCAACGTTTCTATCTTATACTTCAGATGAATTATAATCTGTTTTTGTTCTAAGAGTTTGCCTTAGAAATTGAAAACTGTATATTTGAATTTAATAAAACCTGGTAGTGTATAGAGATCTTTACCTTCACCTGACCTCTATGTGACTTTTGTCTTGTATTTTACTTTCATAGTTTTTTAAAGGTTTGCTAGAGGCTGTAATCACTAGTGTATGCAAACGGTGCTTATTTATATTTGCATTTGTTTGCATTAATGATCCACATCATATTTGTTCTGCCTCCCTCTTGTGTGTTCTGTCTCTGATGTGAGATCATCTGTTTTCTGTCCATGTAGAGGAACATGTTCCCTGGTTTCAAACAGTGCTTTTACTTGTGTGAAAATGTCTTGATTTTTTTATTTCTAAAAAGATGTTTTCACTGAATAATAGAATTTTGAGTTGGCAGGTCTTTCATTAGTCCTTGAGGATGTTATTCTGTCTCTTGGATTTCTTTACCACTGTCAGAGTAAGTGCCTCTCACTCCAAGGAAAAGTTCCAGGGCTGCTGATTACCTCCTGGAAGCTTGTATTTAACTTTGTTTTTATTTCTTTCTTTTTGTTTTTGCCAGCACTGGAGAGTGAACCGAGGGCTTTTGCACTGAGTTACATCCCTAGCCCTCTTCATCTTAATTAGTTTTGAGACAGGGTCTTACTAAATTGCCAAGTTTGGATACAAACTTGAGGTCCTCCTGTCTCAGGTGGACAGGCTGTACTTGTCTTTTTGTTTTGTTTTTTTCCTGTTTTTCACTTTCATTATGACACATCTGTACACAGCTTTCTGTTTTATTCATCTGGCCTCCTTGAAATCTGCAAGGTCACCATGCCCAGCTTGACTTCTTCCCTCCTTTCTTTGTTTATCTGTTCATCTTGGAACCTGTTAATCATGTTTTATCTTCATATTGGTGTTATATATCAGTTCTGTAAAATTTCCGCCTTTGGACTCTGGCTGCAATCAAACGCATGCTTCTCGTGGTCTCCTCTTGCAGGAGCAGCCAGTGTTACTTCACCTGAGGATCCTGCCAGTGTTGAAAAAGGACACAGACAACATTGATTGAAAGTCTTTTGGCTAATAACTCTGAGCCCTCAGTACCTGTTTAATCCTCTCTGGCAGTACTGATGGCAGGGTGGGCCAAGTCAAAAATTACCAAAAAGAAATCTGTTGCCCAGTGAGTAGATCAGAATGACCCAACCTGATTTTATGGGAGCTGTGTAGTCCTCAATAACAACATTCAATGTAAATACTGAGCATGTGCATCACACATCTTCTGGCCTGCTTTTGTGGTAGAAGCACCATCATTTTGGGCACTTTATATTGTGAAGAAGAGAAATATTCTTCCACTAAGTCAGCGAAGACCCAGTGAGTCATTTAGTGGGCTCTTCTGAGATTTATAATGATTCAGAGCCATTGCCATGTATTTAAAAGGCTCCAAAGAACAAAGTGAACTTTCCTGTCCTATATAATCAGGTCTTTCTGGACCTCTGAGTACTCTGCTTCACACTATAAGAGCTGCAGGCTGAAAAATCAGCCAGTGCCCCTGGGGATAAGTTAGAGTTTGATCAACACGGCAATGAAGTTAGTGTGGCCTTAAACGATTGCTGAGGACTCAAGGAAATAAGTGAAATAACATTTTTTAAAATGTCAGATCTGACTGAGTATTTTGACACCCAATCTGAAGCAGCATAGAACAGATAAGAAGAAAGTAAGAAGACGCCTTTAAGAGGGTATGGGAGAGCTTTATAGGAGTGCAGTGGCAGGGCTGGGGATTTAGCTCAGTGGCATAAGCACCTGCCTTGCAAGCAGGTGGTCGTGAGTTTGATTCCCAGTACTGATAGAAATGAAAAAGACAAAAAAAAAAAAAAAAAAAAAAAAAATGCCTGAGGAGTGCAGTGGCTCTCAGGTAGAAAAGAAATAGAACTACTTTTATTAGTTTTGGCTAAGGAAGGAGTTTTGGAGACCGGTAAGATGACCTATTAACAACTGATCTGAAGGAGTACCTGCTGTACAAAACAAACAGACAGAAAGATTCACTGGGGCTGGGGAAGTCTTGTGGTTGAAGAGGGCTTGGTGCTCACGCAAAAAGGGAGTGGGAGGTTTATCTCTGGAGTGAGAAGGAGAAGATGGAACTTACTGTTGGAGAGAGAAGTTGTTTCTCTGGGTCTGGCACCAAGTTGGGCAGGTGTCATGTTACAGATAGCTGAGCTCCAAGCTAGCAGAACCTATCAAGATCTTTACATAACCATTTTTTTCCCTCCTTTTCAGAATTGTTCAAACTTCCAACATGAGAGGTTAAGTATGGGAGTAAAGGCTCTCCTAGAATCCTTTTTTCTGTTTTAGACTAGCACAACTTCACAGGTTTCTAACACATCTCTGTTTTCAACTTTGTAGTAGATTCTGAGTCTGTTCTGTTCATTCACCTGCAGGATCATCTTGGCTTTCTGTGCTTAGAAAGGTTACATAATTGTCTTTCTGGGAGTTGTGCTAAAGTCTAGCTGGTGCAGACCTGCACTTGTCATCTACTATGAACTGAAGTGATGTCTTGGTTTAGATGATATCAGTGATGCCGGTTTTTAACTGTTTCTCCGCCTTCTTCTTCTCTAAACCCCTCCCTATCCAGTCTCTTCTTTAACAGGGTGCAGAGCAGTCAGTGCAGTTACTGGATTAGATACTCATCTCCTCTTGGCTGACTGAAGGCTCTATTACCAAAGAAGAATTAAATTCAGCACTGGTTGAGAGGTTGCTGAGATCCGCGCCTTATACCATCTCCACAGAAGTGGGAAGAGTCCACACATGGAGGGAAGAGTCCACCCAGAGAGAAGCAGGTAGACGGCTCCTGTGACTTGCTCTGCTCCCCTATGGTGCCCAGCCTTTGTAAGGCTGAGCAGCCTCCTTGCATGCCTAAACTGATGCTTGGTGCTGCCCTGGTAGGATGGTAAATGGTACCAGCAGCTCACTGTGTAAAGTGGTATTCACTTGGTGGTGTTATTTTTATGACAAAATTGTACAAATCTGTATTGGCTGAGACCCTTGTGTAGATTAGGAGAGGTGAGGACCAGGAAGAGTTTATGCACCACAGTGAGGTCTCAACTTACCCCAAACCTCGCAGGAGTCCTCTTTTGCCACCTGCCAGGAGCAACCTTTTTGGCACTGATGCTGAAAATATGGGAAAAGGGTCAAGTAGGGAAGTAGCTTTCAAGTCTCAGTTTTAACAACAGTTATGTAAGTGAAAATCTTTCTTTTCCCTTAGTATGTGTGCCTAAACGCATGGTAAACACTTTAGATTCTATTAATTGTCACTACTCCTTGTAATGAAGACTCTGCTGGTCCTCATTTGAAGATGATGATATTGAGAATGTAAAGCGACACCACAGGATCAGGATAGAGAGCTGGGATTTGAATCTGGGCCCCATGTGTACGGCTTTCAGTCATGTGTTGTGCTAGCTTATTAGTGATATCTCTGGCTACCCTTGACACTATTGTTTAGGTAACAAGTGAGAAGGGAAGAGGTAGAAGGTGAGTTGGTCTTGCTGGTCTTTAGTTCATCTGCTGAAGTGAAGAGGTAGGTCGGTGGGGAGACGGGCAGGAATCCCAGGGTGCACGTCCTGCTGCCAGCCTGGGCCTGCACCTCAGGAGGGACCGACCTCAGAGCCCTAGTGCCTATCACTGGGTTCTGAGGGTCCCCAAGACTAATGTGGATTTAGATAAGTAAGCAGCTGTAGCTCCCAATGTCAACAGTGCCAGCCCAGACAGAATCCAAAGCCCCTCGGTTCTCCACCTAATTTTGTAACCATTAACTTTTTTTAAAAATCAGTGATCACCCTGATTCTTGTAAATTACATGGGCTTCAAGCCAACAAAAACCCATGCCTCCTCTAATAGATTTAAAAAGTCCGTTTGAACACAAAGACTCTAAATAGATGGAAAAAGGGGTTTTCTGTATTTAAAGGTAGTAAATTGCTTTATAGCTGAGCGTAGAGATGCAGGCCTGTGATTCCAGCACCCACAAGACTGAGGCAAGAGGGTCACTGCAAGTTCAAGGCCAGCCTGGGCTACATAAAAAACTGAAAAGAGAGAAGGAGGAATTGTTTTAAAGAAACTTTGAATACAGTTAATTGTTCTAGAGTCTTCAAGAACTTGAAAAACTGAACTGTAGGAAATGCACTTTTCATTTTGGGCTGGCCTGTTATCACTGAGTCTACTGTGATGGGCCTGTACAGCTTTGTGTACAAATGTTCTTTAAAAGAAAAATTACCTGAAAGTTTTAAGATGAGGAATTTCTCTTCAAAAATAATCTTTCCCTACAAAATGTTTTCACCATGCCTATGCTGGCATGAAGGCTGTTATCTATGGATGGCTGGGATTGATCTATGATTGACTGTAATGTGGATGAAGGAACTCAGCCTTCACACCAAGCCACAGTCCCTGTCTTCTTTATTTTTAATTTTGAGTAGGATGTTATTAGGTGGCTAAATTCCAGGCGGGGCTTGAATTTGTGATACTCTTCGCTGAGGCACCCACCCTCTTACCTAGTATCCAATTATCCCATGTGAAGGGTGGAGTCCTCCTATGTAACACAGCCCACCTCGAAAGGGAGTGGTCCATGTTAGTTTTGGATATTTATCAAGACCAACTGACTGATATGTAATAGCAAAATGAAAGAAAAGAGAGATAAAACATTTAAAATCATAATACAATGTTTTATGGTCTCCTTTTTGGGAAGATCTATCTATCTATCTATCTATCTATCTATCTATCTATCTATCTATCTATCTTTGTAAACCATCTGTTAACTTTATAGAAAGGTTTAAATTGTGGAAAATACAAATGAAATAGAATGGCTTTTCAACAAGATAATTTCCAAGCCTTAGCTGGCTAGGTACATGGATCTGGGGAAACAATTTCCAATAACAGTGTAGATGCAGATGTAGATATAAATATAGATTCAAAAGCACAGCTTTTCACATATTTGAAAGGGAATGAAATGTCAAGGCTCTGGAAAACTTGGAGGTGATTTAAAAGTGACACTGGTGGTAATGAAGGCAATGGGAATATGGCCACCTCAGACTGTCAGGGGGAAGCTGTTCCCTGACCTGCAGAAAAGAAAAGCACTGAGTGAATGTTTATATCACTATCCCTGCGTGTACTATATGTGCTTACTAAATGTTCTACATAGATCCTCAACTATTTCAGCCACGTCTCTTAAAGTTGATATACTCAGACTGTCAAATTCAGACCATAAAAATACTTTTTTCATCTTTATTCTTGGAAAAAGATTATATTTGCATGTATGTTCCTTATAACTAGTGAAGATTTCCACTGAAATGCAGCTAACTCTGGGGAATTGAGTTGATAGTCGTGACGAGAAGCATGTTTGAATTTTTGCCTAGGAATGAAAAAGTGTTGAACTGCTTATGCCTGAGACCCAGCGCGATTTTCAGGCTGATCTGCTTTCCCTGGGCAGGCAGCGGCTCTCTGTATTTTGCGAAATGGGGCGAAAAGATTCATGATTCATTGGAAGGTAGGTTAACTTTCATCATCATCTAAGGGGCAAAAGATGGGCATGTGCAGGTATTCAAGTTCCCTAAGTTTCTTTGATGTGTGGATTTATAATTCTTATTAAACTGGGAAAATTTGTAATTATATCTTAAAAATGGCTGTCTTTCTCCTTCTTACGTTTCTATATGGCATAACGATAGATACTGTCCCATATATCACTGATCTCTGTTCAATTTGTTTATTTGGTTTGTTTTGTTCAAAACAGGGTCATGCTTTGTACTCCAGTCTGGACTTGAAGTCACTATGTAGTGAGGCTGGCTTTGAACTCATGGTGATTCTTTTGCTTCAGCCGCCCAAGTGTTAGGATTACAGGCGTGCATCACCACATTTTGTTTAGGTTTCTTTTTTCTCTCTCTGTGTTTCCATTGGAATTCTATTCCTGAAACATTGTGAAATTGAAGAAAATCCTCAGGCATTTTGTTTGTGTTTTTTTTTATTTTAAAAAGGATAACAGAATAAAACAAATCAAAACAAGGCAGTATGAGAAATACAGGACTTCAAAACATTATGAAATCAATAATAGTTACCATAATGCCTTTTGAGGCCTTCAAAATAGCTGCAGATAATTTCAGACATAGTAAAACTCAAACAGAACAGAATAGAATAAAAACAATAAAAAGAAAACAATGAATGCAATAAAGGACTTAAAAACAAGCCAGTAGTAAATCCAAAATTGTTACCATAATTGTTATCATTGTTATCATTGAAATAGCTGCTCCTGCCATTGAATTTGACATAAACAAAACAATAGAAAATAAAACCCAATCCAATAAAATAATGGAAACGATATAGGACTTCAAAACAAGACCATAGGGAATCAATGATGACTGCAACCCTCAGAAGGAATTCCCTCCCCCCTCAAGATGCCACACTGCGTACCGCTATCCTCTGAGCCTATGATCAGCCCACTGGGCTAGACCTGCAATGTTAGTGAAACACCAAAGCACCACAGGCATCCAATCGCATTTCAGTTTGATAGTGATCATCACAGCCTGTGTTTCTGGATAAGCTGGTTGCTTACAGTGGGGGGTGGTGTTGGGGGATTGGTACTTCTTGTTTGCCAGTCCTCGATGGAAGGGGCTGGGATCTGGCTGATCCAGTCCAGTGGCGGCCTGCGCATGGTGCTAGTTCCTGAACTGGACTTGCTTCCTGGTGTGGTCACCTTTTCTCTATACCCAGTCAGAGAATAGTGCTGACTTCAGGGAGAGGCTTAGGTTTTGGATGATCCAGTCCAGTGATGGCCCGCACATGGCGCTGGTTCTCATACTCTTGTTTATGTTTCTTAATCTCTAGTCACATGACTAAAATGAATGCCTTCTGTGGGAAGGGAGCCAGAGCTTGTCAATGGTTGAAACCCTTGTTGGCATTCCAATGCCTGGCTGTCTTTGCTGACTTGCTGCAATCTTTGTGTCTCTCATGTTGCAAGAATAGAGATAGCTGGGGATGGGGATATAGCTCAGTGGCATAAGCACCTGCTTGGCAAGCTCAAGGTACTGGGTTGGATTCCTCGGACCAAAAAAAAAAAAAAAAAAAAAAAAAAAATAGAGAAAGTTCTGTTGGCCACATGACCTTGTAGAAGTAGCTCCCAGGCAGTTTTGAGCTTTTTCAGGCACAGCAACCAATACATCTCCACCTGCGGAAAGAGCCTGGATAATCTTACTGTTCTCAGCTGCACTCTCCCGTGGAGCCCAGGCGCCAGCTCTGGAAATCTGACTCCTCTGTGCGGCTGCATCCTGAAACAGGCCCTAACCAAACGCAAATAAAAAAGGCCCTGAAAAAGCATCCATAAGTAAAATTACAGAATTTGATGATACTAAAAAAACACAAATGAAACTGGCTGAGGTACACATGCTTGTAATACCAGTTTTCTAGGAGGCGGGAGCAGGAGGATGACAAGTTCAAGCCTAGTATGGGCAAGTTAGCAATTTAGCAAGAACCTGTCTCAAAATAAAAAGAGCTGGGAATTAAATTAGTGAAAAGACTTTGGGTTCAACCTTCAGGACTTGGGAAGAGGCACCTGTGTGATGGGAAGAGGCACCTGTGTGATGGGTCACATTAGCTTCTCAGGACAGAGATGTCCGGGCTGAAACAACAACATGTGGCCATGGGCTTTCATGGAAACCCCCACGTGGAGTATTACCAAACAGCTCCTGGGACTGGCCATTCATGTTATTGTCATGCTCTCTAATGCTTCAACTTGTTTTTATATTATCTCCTCCATTCTGCATTTACCATATTCGTTTTTCTTCTACACTTATAAGTTGAGTGACTTAATTTGTTTTCCTGTTTTTCTCTTGAGCATAACTATTTATTTATTTTTGTCTTTTTGACAACCACTTTGTGAAACCTTGTGCTCACTTTGTAGCCCAGGCTGGCCTGGAACTCCCAGGGATCCTCCTGCCTCAGCCTCCAGAGTTCTGGGATTACAGGTGTGCACTACCATGCCCTTTCTAGGCATAACTATTTAGAGACTGACACTGTCCTTCTGGCCACTGCTTTAATTGTATCTTATTAATTGTTACTTTTAAAAATTCTGTAACTTATTTTGTATTTCTTATCTGACCTCAGAGAGAAATTCTAAAAAATTAGGCAGTGGGCCTTTTTTTTTTTTTAATTTAAAAGGAAAAAGAGAAAAAACAAAACAAAGCAAAACAGTATAAGGGTACAAGTAATACAGAACTACAAAAAAAAAAAAAAACTTATGATTGTTAGAGGTACCGCTTTGGCCTCAGGCCTTGGCATTGGCTTCACTTCTTTTGTAGACCTTTCATGGTGGGTTTCCTCGTGACTCTAAGCTCTGATCAGCACTCATGAGTGCAAAGCTCGGCAGGTGCCCACAGGTTCGTGTTTCTGACCATGTTGATCTTTCCTGTCCCAGGCGTCTTGACTCAAGCTTGGGGCACGATCCTTCCTTCGAAGTGTGCTTGTCTCTTCCGCCTGGACCCCACTGCATAAAGTGACTGTGGTGAATAAATGTCCATCAGCCCCTCCCCTGGGGACAGTGTCCCTCTTGGTGCTCTTTGATGTGCTCGTCTCAGATTTTACGTCATCCTGAGTTAGTACGATTTCTGCTTTCTTCTTGCTCTCATTTCTATCTAAGGAAGTCTTCCACGCCTCCTGCTCCTTTCTGAGGTTCTGTGTTCGCTTGATTCCTTTACATGTAGGATAAAGTTTGGTTCCATAGTGCAGAAAACTCTAAAAATCTTTTTCTTAAAATGAGTGAATTAAACCCATATCATTGTTCAGACAAATGTGACCACTCTTTGCTCTGTTGTATATCTGCCATGTGACTCTGTCTGTGTCTAGATTTTATTTTTTTATATTTTCCTTTCTTTAGGAATATTATAATATTGCCTCTAGCCATTATCTTCATATTTTATATAATTTCCTTAATATTTGTTTTCCTTAACTATGCTATTACCCTTTATTCTTTAATATCATTGCATTTTTAACCTCAGAGACCCTTATGCATATAAAATCAATGAACTTCCTCTTTTATCTTTTTTTTTTTTCTGAGACAGAAACTTTCTGTGCCCAGGTTGGTGTTGAACTCAATGTGTAGCCCAGCCTAGCCTTAGACTTACAGGGATCCTTCTGCCTCAGCCTGGTGAGTGCTGAACTATAGACATATGTCACGCACGCCTGGCTTATTTTTTCCTTTTTTTTTTTTTTCTTCTTTTTATGAAGTATTATGTCTACCTTATCAGAACATGTAACATTTTAAAATGAAATTTAATTTAATGGGTTTTTGTTCTGCTCTCAGTTTTTGTTTTTGTTTTTGACACAGGGTCTTGATGTGTAGTACAGGCTGGCCTTGAATGTATGGCAATCCTCCCAGTTCAGCTTCCCAAGTGGGGAACATGCCTGGCAGAACATATGACATTTATATATTGTTTTACGATCCTTACCCCTTTTTCCTTCTTTCTTCTTTCCCTTCTTTTTTTTCTTTGAAAATTTATTCATTAGTCCATGTTTGCAGCACACAATGATGCCACGCTTTGTGGGGAGCTGGAGCATGCGCATGACACGTCCTGCTTCCCTTTTTCTCCCTTTCCCTCCCCGTCTTCCATCTTCATCCCCCTCCTGTTTCTCCCTTTCTTAGAACCACAGCAGGATGTATGCAAAGCTCCCCTTCTCTTCTTGCACACTTTTCCTGATCTCCTCAGTTAGATGAAGCCCGCCTTCCTGCGTAAGTCTTGGCAGACTTTTTCTGTCGTGGCCCCATAGAGAGCAGCTTCAGTTTGTAAGCTGCGTCAGGACAGCAGGCGATGTCTGTGCAGGACCAGCTGGCTCCGTCCAGCGAGGCGCGCGGTGCACCCTGTAATCCAGACCCAGTAAAGCAGGGACGTAGGAGAATCGCGAGTCCAGCCTGGGCAATGCTGTGAGACCTGGTCTCAGAATAAAAGTTGGAAAGGATCTGGGCATGCAGCTCCGGTGAAGGCATCAAATTGTGCTTCAGCAAGGCAAACAAAACAACCCCACCCCTCAAGGGGCCACTGGCAGAAGCAGGTACTCAGATCTTCTTTTTTCAGTGACAGAAAATGACATAAAATTGTCTTTATTTATGGAAGAGTAGTAAATATCATATTTTATTTATCCATTCATCTGTTGACCGGCATACAGGCTACTTCCAAGATTTTGCTCTTATGGATTGTGCTGCAATAAACATGGGTGTGCATGCGTCACTGTAATGCAGTGCCTTTAACTGCTTGAGGACAACGCATAGAAAGGGAATAGCTGGGTCCAGTGGACTTTTTTTCTTTTCAGACAGTGTCTCACTATGCAGTGCAGGCTGAACTTGAACTCACTTTATAGCTCAAACTGGCCTCAAACTCACAGCAGTTCTTCTGCCTCAGCTTCCTGAGTGCTGGAGTGGCACAAGTGTGTATCACCTGCCTCTAGTGAAACTTCTAGTTTTAATTTTGAGGGATCTCCAGACTGATTTCAATAGTGGTTGTACTA